GAAGTGGCAGGGGACCCCACCTTTTCCCTGTCCCCTGGGTTCCTTCCTGTCCTGGAGCCCCAGGGAATGGCAAGGATGACTCCCAGGGATGGTTTCTTGAGGACTGAATACAGATTGTCCCATTTGAAAGCTTTTTAGCTCAAAATAGCATTTGGAGCCAGTAAGCCCCCAGGACTTTCCAAGCAAGGCTGTCTTTTCCTGCCTTTTTGGGGGTAGTTAGGCTTCTGTCTCTTAGGCTCTGTGGAAAACCTGAGGCTCTGTCTTGCTGGCAAGTTGCTAGGCCAGAGTCATGTTTCTCAAGTTGCCCAAAGACCACCCTTCTCCTACCTCCCCGCATGCCCACCACCCCATAGCTCAGGCCACCAGTAAAGACTGGGAGACAGAACAGTGTACAAGAGTTTATTTAATGATATCTGAATTTAGTTCTATCATGTGGGGCCCACGTTACAAGTTCCATCTGGGTCCATTACAACTCTAACCCAAAACAAAACAGAAAACAAAACACAACAAAAAAAGAAAATCCACAACTTTTTCCATGTCATTAAATATATTCATATATAATAACCATAATATATTAGTATGCATTGGAAAGGAACACTGACCCAAACAATATGTCATGGTCACAAACTAAACATTTACAATTCTGAGTGGAGAGAAATCCAAAGCACAGGAGGGAGTGAAGGAGGAGCGTGTGGGAGCAGGGAAGGGGAAGGGACGTCCGATGACACGAGCAGTGGGACCGGCTTGGTTTTTGGCAGGGGGCAAGGCCCCCACACGTACACATTGTGATACCCCTGGGGTATGGCATGGCTGTGGCCCACAGGAATGTCTGTCTGTGAACCGTGGCCCAAGGGCCCCATCGATGAGTCTGAGTCAGTTCATCTACTCTCTAGGCTTGAGTGGCAGGAAAGGGGGCACAGGGGACTTCCTTTAGGAGTTGAGACCCTAAATGTTTTTCGGTTTCCTAAAGGAACCATTTCCCAATCCCTTAGGGATGCTTCTTGAGTTCAGTCTCATTGCAACCCAGGGAAACTCCAAGAAGGTCTGTACCCATTTCCTGCATGCTACTACTGAGGCAGAGTTCCAAGGGCCTTGACCCCAGGGGTCCCTCCTTCCCGTCTGGAGGAATGTAAGATGTTGCCTCCTCCTCTGCTTCCTAAACACAGAAGCTGTCGCCTCTGTCCTCTGCAGGTGAGTCTGGGGGCAGCCCCATTCCCCTCCCTCCACCCCAAGTCTTTAGCATTCCTGCGTGTCAGTAAAGCAGGCACTCAGCTGTCAGGGACCAGACCACCCAGCTGGTAAGAAAAAGGACAACTGGGGAGCCTGTTTAAAAACAAAAAGACTAATGTGGTATGTTTTTCCTCAAACACCTACAAATCACAGTTCGGGTTAATACACTCTTCAAAATCAAAATCTAGCTCCGTTTTACATCCCTTCCTAACTGTACAAACCAGGACACCTCAATTCCTACTTCCATCTCCTCCCTGGGGTGGGCGGCAGGGGGTGGGAGAGGGGTGCTTCCCTAAGGATGGTCCTCAGTGCTGCGGTTGGTGGCTAGGTTCTGGCTGGGGTCTGTGAGACGGGAAAGACAGCCTGTGATGACTGCACAGTCCTGCCAGTGACCTTGGCACTGACCTGGCTGAGCTGGCCACAGGATGGATGGCCTTTGCCCTCGGGGTGCTGAGCGGAGGGTGAGGCTGGTTGAATTTTCAGCAAGATGCCTTGCTGCTTGGCAGGGCACTGGCTCTGTTGCTGCTGGGGCCCTGGAGACCAGCAGTGCAGCCCCTCACTGGACACCGGGTGAGAGTCAGGCCCTGGGGGAGGTGCCAGGGCTGCCACAGTCATTCTGGGCTGGGTGGAGAAGCCAGGCCGGGACAGGCAGAACCAGAACGAGTGCGCAGGCAGCGTAGTGCCTTTCAATGCTGACGGTGCTCACAAGCCGCGCTGGGCGTCAGAGGGGGCCCAGAGCTAGGAGGGGCCCCTGCCCTCCAGCCCTGGAACTGGGCTCAGGAAAGCCAAATACCCCTTCCCAGAAAGTTCTGTCTTCTCCTTGCCCCGAGGCATCTCTGCCAGTCTCTCCCAGAATCCCTCTAACCACCCCTAGGCTGCCAAACCACCTTTCTATTGCCCCCTAGGGGCAGCCAAGGCCTGCCTTCCTGGAACCTGGGCTTTCCTGGGACTGCCCTCTGGCGAGTCCAACCCCTGCGTTAGCCTCCTCTCTCGCTGTCATCTCTGAAGATGTTTTTGTGTCCTCTACCCCCAACCCCACATTCCTGTCCTCCAGGCTGAACGCCAAGGTCCTCAAGGGGCAGTAACCAGAGCACCCCTCACAGCGGCTGCAGGAACTGAGTGGGTGGGCCAGTGTGGCCCATGGTCAGAAAGCCTGGCTCTGGACTCTCAGTCCCACTTATTTGTGGCGTGACCTTTTGTGCAGGTACTCCAGTTTTCTCACTGGTGACAACGGCAGTAAGAATCCCTTTCCCACAGGGCTGTCCCCGAGGACAGGCTTGAAGCATGTGGGTAAAGTGCCTGGTACAGAGCAGGTGCTCAGTCGGGCAGTGACATGGCAGAAGCGGGGGAGGCAGAGGGAAGCCAGACCACCGAGGGGCTGAGCTGCAGACTTGGTATGACCCTTCTGAGCAGCCAACTCCAGCAGGGAAAATGAAACCAATTTCCTGACTGAGAGAGGAGCCAGGCCTCTAATTCAGTGTGCCGGGTGTGAGCACGGGATGTGGGCCAGAGCCCCCTGAGCAGTGCAGAGAGCTCAGAAAGGCAGGGAGCCAGGAGGCCCCGGGGCACAGGATGGGCCCTGCGGGAGACGAGCAGACCAAAAGGTCTGGGGCTGCCTGCTTGGGGACAGTGCCTCTAGGGGGGCTGTGGAAAGGAGGTTTGGGCACCCCGGAGGGTATGGGCAGCCTCCACCAAAAGGGTAGCCAGAAAGGGGTGGGTGAGGTGCTGCCCAAGCCAGACCAAGACAGCCGTAGGGGCAGCCCAGGGCCGGGCTGGCTGCGGTGGGCTTTCTTGGCCCAGCAGCCTCTGTCCCTTCCCTTGGGGAGCCAAGAGAGAAGGCAGCCACAGGAAGTGGCCATGGCTTCCCTGCCCCTGCCTGCCTGGGGCTTGGGCACTCTGGCGACCCTCTCCAAGCCAGCAAATCCTCTCCCGACTCCAGCAAACCCCTTCCCCTAGGCCAGGCCCAGCTGCTGTTGCACCTTGTTCCATGCCCGTCCAAGCCCTTTCCAGCTGTCGACATTGCTGAGGGGCCTGTGGGAGCTGATGTCATTACACAAATAGTGTCACTGCCCTAAACCCAGTCAGTGCCCCTTCCCCCTCCCCTGGAAAATGTCATAAAAGGGGCTGGTTCCAAGTTTCCAAGAAGGAAACTCTCTGGGAGGTTTTGCCTTTGCAACGCCTCCTCCAACAGGCAACTCCAGCACGAGGCAGTGACCACCCGGCTCGGGCTTCTCTGGGGTGTGCTTGGGCCCCCTGCCCTCCGGATAAGCCGGAATCCTGGGCCAGCTCCCGGCCCCCGGCTGGGCAGGAACAGGCACCGGCAGGGGCCTTCCTCCACCCTCCACAGATGAGGAACCCCCGACCCCGCCCCAAGACCCCAGCCAGGAGGACCAACTCAGCAGGTGGCAGTGGGGACCAGAGGCGGCCTGGGGAACGCTGGCTGGACAGGCTGCTCTCCCAGCCCCCACTGCCTGCCAGGTCCCTTCAGATGGGGCGCAGGTCGGTCGGCATGGCCAGGCGTCCTGTGCACAGAGAAGGGTCAGGGCGGAGGGGTGGGCTTCTGGCTTCTCTGTTTGGGGTGGTGGTTCGGTCGGGCTTGCTCAGCCCCCGCCCAAGGCTGCGGGCCTGAGAATGCACAGTCCTCTTCCCGTCCCCTTCTCCATAACCTGTCACGAGCCGCAGGTGCGGTGGGCCCCCCCCCCCCCC